AAGAGTGAACATGTCCCATGTGTGGTCAAATGACCCGTGAGTCAAGCTTAAAAAACTCGAGCCTGTAGGCCATTTGAACTTAATAATCATGCAGAGAACTAATATTTTCAAATCATGGCAAAACCTTCTAACAACCAACACTGTTCCTGTTGGACCAACGGGAATAGATAATTAACTGTGAAGGTATTCAAGGTTAACGCCCGTATTCTAAAAGCTCACTCACATGCTCAATGAGTGGAGGTTAAATCTGAGCTTTTCTTGAGTGTCAATGCTGTTTTTGAATAGCTGGAGGGTGAGTAGTCAGTAGTAAGGTTGACACTAGCCCTCCTGCTATTCAAAAACAGCAATGACACTCGAGAGAAGCTCAGATTGAACTTCCACTCATTGAGTGTGAGTGAGCTTTTAGAATACGGGCGTAAGTTCATAAACTGATTTCATACGAGATTGTACACTTCCTAAATATCCAGATCCTATATATACAACCCACAGATTGAGATACTATTTCTAAGATGGTGAACGTACAAAGTTTGCAAATTTGTAAGATCAAAACACACAATGCATAGCCATAGGGCAGTTTCCAGCAGTAAGTAAGCAGCCGCGTGTTTTGGGTTGGAATTACCGGCCTGAAAAATATCGCAAACATTTCCTGACTCCAACTGCAAACTTCCTGACGAAACCTTTCATTTGAAATCTCAAAGTGTTTGTCTCAGGTTGTTCCGATCTGAACTACGGTAGCCTATTGTACAATGCTACCTGCACTTCCACCCCACGTTTGAGTTTGCCTGCAGGCTTCTCGAGTCTGTAGTGGAAATTTAATGAGTACTTATTATTAATCTTTTGAGTGCACTGCTGTTTTGCCTGTTCATCTTAGCTATATTGACCTATATAGATATGATCATAATCTACGAACATGCAAAATATACTGGAAATTTTTAAAAATGATTAATGGTAAGGTGTTGTATATGTGCTCTGCATATTGCAGGTGTGGTCCGGTGTGGTCGTGTGGCGACCTTCCTGGGTTATTTTGACTAATATGCATGCAAAGTTGTGCAATAATTTCCTTTGGAATAGGCAATCCTTGATCATGCTCGAATCTTTTTAAGGAAATTGTAACAAATGAAGATGTCTGATCAGTTAACGAATTTTTAATTCACTGACATATACATTAATCTAAATTCTTGGTTATATACCTTTGTAACTTTGTTCCATTTTATACTTAGACAGGATTTTTGTCAGTTTTGTGTCTTCTATTAGAAAGGCTAATAATGAAAATAGCCGATAAGCCGACGCAGTGTTTTAAAAGCACTCAAGCTTTATTGCTCTCATTTTCGAGGTTAGAACAGCCAAATACTAAATACCTACAATTGGAGCAGGAAATATGAGCCACAAACAAATATGCATTAAACCACTATGCATAGTCTGTTCATGTTTCTATCTTGCCATGGCAACAATTTATTTTATTTCAAATTATTTGCCTTCCAAACATGGCAACTGATAACGAATTCGTTTTCTGCTGTTTGAAAAGATGAAGATGATCATAGAAGAAATGGATCAGGAAACGGCATCATATCTCGCTTTTGATACAGCAAACTTTTGTGTACCTTTAATTAAAAATTGGTTTTAGTTTCCAATATAACGATAACGAATGTATCGGTTGTACATGACGATATTTCATAAAGAAAAAGTGCTCTGCAGGCTTTATCTTATATATTAATACCACTATATACTATTGTATACTCTATAGTCTATAGAGTGCATTGATATAATATATAGCGGCTTCACTACTGAGTTTTATTCAGTCTTAAATATGTATCCATGTTTTCACTAGACGGCTGTAGTCGTAACTATGGCCAAGCTTTACTTTGCTGAATTCCTCAGTGGTTTTTCGGTCTATCTATTAGTAACGTTAGCCGCCAATTTAGATTTGGCGGAACATTTTCAGTTTTTCTCTAGTAACTTCTTTTACTCGTTTTGCTAGAAATTTCTTTACAAATATAAGTAGCAGGGAAAATAACATGTTTTTCAGATTGCAGAAGTCATTATTTGCTTGGAAAACATAACTATAAGGGATGTGTATATGGGTAATTCTAAACAACAATCAACAGACTTTGTAGTTTGTCTATCATATCAGCCATCCAATTGCGTCATTTTATTGTTTGCTGACGTGAGGTTTTAGGTATTTGGCTGTTCTAACCGCGGAAATGAGCTCAATAAAGCTTGAGTGCTTTTAAAACTCTGCGTCGGCTTATCGGCTATTTTCATTAATAGCGTTTCTAAAAGAAGACACAAAACTGACAAAAATCCTGTCTAATGGTCGGACAATTTTTGTGAACGAGTTGTCCTTACCAAATATAGTGTGTGGTATTTAAAATCTCATCTATAAACTAATAATATCGTCAAGGTCGTTATCTGTTTAGCAGGTATTTCTTTTCTAAACAAATCGGCAAGAAAGCGGCCCGCCTCATTAGGAATGAACATCGTTAACAATTTATGAATGGACTGTATCAACAAACCGTCGTTTAGTTTAACAATATTAAGTTATAGGAGTTCGTACGTGGGAGGTCAAACACTACAGGTTGAGCAAAAACTAACTGACAAACCAGAAAGGCGGCGAGATAATTTAACGCCAACCCGTTTGAGAGAAAAACTCTAACACTGAATTATAAGGCAGTAATTTTTGCATCTCATGCAAGTGCGCGGGCTCATTAAAAATTCAACTGCATGCATGGTCTGCAATTTACTTCATACACAAATGTTTGTTTGGAAAAATGTCTCAGTTTAATGAAAAACATCCGGAGTAGCATCGAGTAAGAGCTTAACTGTAAGCCTTTGGCTTGAAAACAGTCTGGAAATGTTAAATAACCTTTTAGCTTTAAAAAGTTATTAAAGTTTTTTCTAACGTGGGTCGTGGGGGTCCAGTGTAAATTAAGTAATATTCTTCAATAAACTGCTTAAAAAGGAAAACATTTTCAGGTAATTTTGACAAAGTGTGCAGACCCTCAAAGATTATATGTTAAAGTTTTGTTGGTAATATGACTCAAAATAAGGAAATCATAAACCTCTATTCTAGAAGATATTTTGTGATTAACAGGTGCATGTCTTTCTGAATATAATAATATATGTATTTATATGAAGTAGAATTGTGCCGGCTTTTGTGGTAAAAACATTTTGATGTTGAATACAAAATGCCCTGGACTGGAGATTTTGTAGTTCCAATTGGCAATTAGGCGTTAGAAAACACTAAAATTGAAATACAGTAACTTAAACATAACGTCATAACGACTTCAGAGTTGATGCACTGCGTGGTTCAAAAGTGAAACTTTAACCGCAAAGCAGGTGCACAAAACAAACTTAGCAAATGTTAACATTTTATCAAACCATATGAAAAACAAACAAAACGTAACCTTGGAATTGTAGCAATGTAGTAATGAATAATTCAGTACACTTTTTGCATGAAACCTGAAACCAAAGCTAGATGGAGACAATGTCTAGTCGCCCTCAATTCATCCGCAATTTTCAATTAATGAAAGGTTATGGTATGATATGTGGCATGCTGAGTTCGTCGTGATTTAAGTAGATTTTCTTACATAAAGCCTGCTGGTATATAAGTAGTATGAATCATCAGGAAACTATGTCTTTAAGTAATATTGCATAATTGCTATGATTCCTGACATACTATTTAGAGTATCATTCTGCTCTTATCAAAGATCTTGAAATAGCGCATGCGCACTAGCGTACACCCAATACAAACTTTAATTTTTGAACTCGTTTCGAAATTAGTAGAAAAACTGAACTAACTAATAAAAGGTTTACCTGCATTACTTGACATACATGCATGATAAAGAAATTCTATCAGTTTGTGCTATTATAAAATATTTTCTAATTTTCACTCAATAGAAGAATTGGAGGTTGCTAGAAAATCACTCACATGCATAATTTAAATCATTGGTTACCTTTGTAATCATTGGTTACCTTTGTTTCAAATGAGTGGTAACTAAGCATGTGTGTTTTCTGAAAAGGGGAACTAGGAATACGATTTAGCTGATTACATTTTTGTACAAGTACAAAGCCCGATTAAGTGATGGTTGGTTTGGGTATCAAGCTAGCAACATAACAAGATAAAAATTAAGCGAAACTGTATAAGGCCTAATATGAATATTCATTTTAATTTCTGTAATAGACTTAATAGGCCAAATAGAGTCATATACTTTATTTCAGCACGAGCCTTTCCGGCTTTGCCAGATCAATTGCCATTCCTATGATTTCATATGACCACAAGACAACAATTACAGCACAGGAATTTGTACATCAACACATCTTGTTCAATAAATAAACGACCATTTTTCTCTCTTTATTTAAACTAGACAGATAAATGCAATTGAAATACAATGAAAACGTTAAAAAGAAAAGTTTGTAGCTACATGCATGCACGAATTATGAACCATAGTCGTTATAACTGGTTATTCACCAGGCAAATCCGGTAATTAGTCATGACAGTTATAAATTAGAGTGTCAGGAAAAAAAATTCCATTTAGCTGCCACCTTACACACGCTCAAGGCGTATTAAAGCATTAACGAATGTTGGGAAAATAGACCTGGTATAGTTTAATCTTGAGACGTTTTCATTGTTAACCTTTGAACTGGGCGAAGTCGAAAAAGTACCTTTCAAGTTGTGTTTTCGTAACGATTATATATGTCTGCGTTACTTAGACAAAGAAAGTGAACCAGCTGGGTTTTAAAGGGCATCCTTTCCTAGCCCTAGGGTATCATACCGAAACGTAATATCTCTTTGCTACGGGAGCACTAACCATGCACTAGGTCAGAACTATGGTCAGAAATGAATAGCATTCAAAATATACTACGCCTACGATATTTTACGACACGATTAAAATGGAAAACAGGCAAGTGTTGCCCCTTGAGTATAGTTGCTTAAAAACCAAGAACAATTTGCATAAATTAATGTGCCTAAACCTAGGCACAAATGAAAAGAATTCTTTCATTCGGCTAATTCTTTATTCTTAAAACACTCATTGTTTTAGACTTATTCAGCTGCTAAACGTTTTCCTGATGTAAAAATTACTTAAACTTGCAATAATGAAGCAAATTTTATAGTTTTACAGCTTTTTGTTAGTGCCTCATATACTTTATTCACTAATGGGACAGGGTTGTATCTCGCAGGGCAAAAAACTGCTCGAGCTAATAAGCTTTGTGTGGGCGTAAACTACATGTACTTTTGAAGTGTTTAAGTACATATATCATTAGATGTGTTGATTATTTTTGACAGATTTTCAAGTGGTTGATCATGAATTCTATATTAATCTATAGGTGTGCTCATATTTGATAGGGAGCGAATTTTCTTAGCGCATATATCACTTAGGCTCTTAGCATACTTATTTTCTAAGGAAATTGATGAATTTCACAATTTTGACCAGCACTCAGCAGGCAACAAGTTGACCTTGTCGTAATTGGCTTACAGCTTTGAATCGCGGGACGCATATGTAAGTTGGCGCGAGATTAGTGCAATTAACTGACGATATGTTGACAAAATAATAAAATATTTGCCACTCAGTATATTAAGCTATTCATGTCGGCATTTAAGGGTGCTAGTGATTTAAAAATGTTCAACCTGCACTTTAAAATGTTTGTATTTTATCCCCTACCGCAATTACTCAAGAAAATTCTTGTGGTTTCAGGTGGTTGGATCTACAGTTCTACTCAAGGATTAATGAAAATCTTTTAAGGAAGGAAATCAAACATTGGCATAGGGTTAAGAGTTGTTCCCGACAGTGTCTGAGCGTGTCAGGAAGTTTCACAGCTTAACAGTGTTTTTCCACATGTCATCATATCATCTCTTGTGGAGTCCAGGGTAACAGCATGTGTTTTGGACAGCACCCGTTATAAAATACCACAGCCTCGTCTATCCACTTCAGTCAATGCTAAGCTGCTCTGTCGTCAAGATGGACAAGTTGTTCGCTGTTTGGTGCTTATATGAATATCAAAGCCCACGATCAACTCCAACTATTCGAAGAAAGCAGCGAGTGCTCACGCCGAAACTTAAAGTTCCGCTGAAGAATGAAAATCAACGGCAAGTTAAGTTTCGGTTGCTTACGAAAGATGACATAGAGATTGTCCGTGAAATATACCAGCAAGGTCATCAGGGCAGAATTTTTCCCGCGTTTAAGATTGGTATCGCACGTTCCTTATCTCTACTAACGATGCTTATGCTGTTTGCTCTACTCTATATCGCCACGAGATCACTCCTTGTTTGCATCGCCTTCGAACTTTTATACACTTGCACTGTGCTGGCATCATTTCATAAACTATTCAATGACCATATTTCTAATAGTCTCCGCAAAGATTTGGAGGACATGACTGAATATTACAAGACGCAGGAAACGTGTACGAGATATAGTGACTTTGCCAGAAATGGATCCAGTATTTGGGTAGCAGTCAAGGACAGCGTTGTAATGGGTTTTGTCAGTTTCGCCCACGTTGACGAAGAAACTATGGAACTCAAACGTATGGGTGTAGCAGAACAATTCCGGCGTAATGGTGTGGGAGTAAGCCTTTGTCAATTTGCGATCCAGTTTCTACAAGCAACGAACTATAAACGTATTGTTCTCGAAACAACCGAAGCGCACCAGCCTGCAATTCGTCTTTACAAAAAGTTTAAATTTGAACTAATGAAGAGACAGAAACGAAGTTGTGGACTTGCGTCAATACATCTTGAACATTATGGACTTCCTATCAACGTAGCAAATACATTAAACATTGCGCCTCCACAGACAACTCAATTAAAACCTGACTGTACCCATGCAATTCCTAAACATCTCATCAATTATATTCATTAAAATTGAAAAATTAACATGTTCGGAAATTTTTAAAATTATAGGTATATATAATATATTATGTGCAATGCAGAAGATAATATCTATTAATATAACACTATTTGGAAACATATAGGAATATATGATAAACTATTCAATGAATACGTAACTACGGACTATATAGATCTCATTAATAATTCTCAACTTCAGTTTCTAGAGGGCACCATTGTTTTAGTTACGGTGCGTAATATTATATGACTAATATATACATTATATATACAATTTGTAATGATATATGGCCTACATTAGGCTAGTATGGAATAGATTTCTATTCTTTATGTTCTTTCTAAGAACTTAATTTTTTTAACACCTAATAAATTTTTTTATCAAAATTACGTGTGTGTGTGTACTTAGTAAAGCGGACACGCAATGTTTAATTAAGTGTTACCAATCTAATTTCACATTGTCACGATAGAAAAGTTGTTTCAGTGTTATGTGTGTGAAACATGCAACATCACCATACACACCATCCTTGTATAGTTTCTTGAAAGTAAAAGTCAAAACACTAAAGAAGGAAATGGAAGTATGATATCAGAAAAATTTTGACATATAGAAAAAGAAAATCAGCCTGAAAATATATAAACGGAGAGAATTCTGACGTTTCGAGCGACTGATTTGCTTCATTATAGTCTAGATCGTAGAGATATTAAGCCAGCTTTTCACTTGTTGATATAAATGCAAGCACAGAACAAAAAATTCAAAAGAAATTCTTTCTGTTTTGTTTTCATTAAACCAGTTAGAGAAACTTATGAGTTATGTTTTGTTTAGTCGCTTATTTATTTTGTGTCGCTATAGTAGCCTAAAAACCAGGTATAGTTCTTCAAAATGTTGTCATGGCTTTGTGGACCTATCTGGAACAGTGACTAAGGATATAAAAAAACACAAGCGAAGCCTCTTTGTCAGAAGGATCGAAGAGTCCTTAATCTTTTCCACTGTAGTTCCAACACAAAGCTTTGGCTATACTTCCGCCCAGTTCTCTACTGTATATAGTAAGCACACTAATTTAATAAATTGCGCGATTTTCAGTATAAATTATTCTAAAAATACATGAGTCAGTAGCGGCTATGAGACTGAATTCCAATCTTATATTTGTCATGCGTACCGTCGGTGAACTACTAACAACATACTGTGTATAATCAACTTGAAATATTTAAAAAATGGAATGCGTAACTAATACGCATCAGTCAACTCCATTACTTCTTTCCGATCGATATAGAGTTGGTATGTTTCTTTGTCTATAACGCTGTAACTAATGAGAGACCGAGATAGGAGCCGCAAGATTTCTTTGTTCATGTACAAGAGTACAACGTGTGCTTTGACTATAAATAGGCTTCGCTCACACGCGACAGGATGACTTCAAAACCGCACTGAAAATTGCACGATTTCACTTTTTAAGTTTACACGGCACGCATGAAACGGGACGTCGATCGAAATAAACATAAGCTATAGCCATACCCGTCATGAACAAATGGAACCGGACGAATTTGCTGCGCACAGTTCTGAAGTCATTTTGTTTCCTGTCAACGCAGCCTTAATGGAAATATTTTTCTTGCCCAAAAGCAGGTCGTATATGTTAAGTTTTTACGTAAACCGTAACGAGGCATATACATCGGATCTTAGATAATGCGCAAAAACAGTTGGAAGTTGAATTTGGAAATGTGCGCTATATCCGGTCTACTAAGCCAAAATTTTATGCGCTTCCTAAAATTTGGAGGAATTGGTTTCAAGCATTCAAAAACTGTTCTATTAATAATGTGAGTAATGTCTACTGTATATAGGCATGGAACTAATCATTGCAACTGAGCTAGATAAAACTCGACTATATGCATAACCAATAGCCATAGGTCCATAAACTACATGGACCATGGTTGTTATGGGAATACAGGTCTATTCAGGTAACTCATATGGCCGTGGTAACCATTTCACATTTTTGGATAACGTACATGCATATATATAGTTACCATGCATTGCTGTACAGTACAGGGTCAGTGTCCCCAAAACCCTATAGAAATTACTCTTTTGTTGTTAAACGCGCGTTCTTATACCTCTGGGGATTTAAAGTAGCTTCTATATAAAACGAGCAGCAAATTACAAATTCGTCTTACCGTCAGTTCGAATAAGAATGGTTCAACAGTTCAACTGACTACAGAGCAACGAGTATTTGTCGTAACAACTTATAAGCGTTAACGCAAAATGTAACCGAAGTGTTAAATTATTTGGACGAAGGGAAGTTGTAAATACTTCCGCCGTTCATGTACATCAAATTCCCAAAAGGCAAAGATATAATAACGCACAAGAGTGATTTCTAAAGGCTTTTTTGGCCTGACAGGCTGACACCCTGTAGAATGGAAGAATTTGAATATACTATATGTGTGTGAATTGAAACGTACGTTAGCAGATTACGTTTGTATTGTTCAGTTACAAAATTTCAGTCAAAACTACTTATGTTTATTGATATAGTAGATTGTTATATATGACAACCTCGAACCCGGCAGAGCTCACATTATGCGCTTGACTGTTTCAGCTCATGATTAATTCAAGCGCGGTCAAAGGACCATGAGAGTTGGCAGTCACGCGACCTTAATAGTTAGCTGTTCGATTCTTAATACTTCCGTTCGGTTTCCCTACATTGTCATGTATTCTTTTTAATTAAGCTGAAACGTGGTAGTTATGAGCACTCATTAAACCTCTATATCAGTTTTGTGGTTTCAGATCTCTAGCTTGAACTGATGTCCCGTACGTATAGTCCTACCGCACAATGCGTCAATACATGAAACTCTCATCATGCAGCCCTCGTTTGACCGCGGCATTAGGGTTTGTAGGTACAATATAACCAAGCCAATAAACGAAGCCCTTATATATGACTATCGGGTCTTGATTGCAATATAGATATATTAATTATAAGAAGGTGGTTTGAAACCAAATCTAAAGCGCCAATGCACCGGCTTGGTTTACTGCAAGGAGAATGATTTAAAAAGTATTTATTTTCCTCCAGACAAGGAGTCATTTGACCATGGTCAACAAAACAAGTCCGGAACCTCAGTTTGGATAAAAACATTTTTTCTCCGCAGGTAACCAACTTTTCAATAAGTCTTAACAACCGTGAAAGAATTTTCATGGTGGTCGTTAACAGCGCTAAGCTTTGCGAGCAAAACATGATGCTATTGTTGCACAACATGACTCATTTACCGACATGACTTATTATTCAACTCATTTATTTTGGCCTATATCTTATACGCACTTTCACTTGTTATTCCTTGCCTGCTAGTTATGTCCTGTGTGGCGAGGATATCTAGAATATTTTCATGGTGAACAACTAGTAGGGCAAGTATTGGTGGTTTGCAATCAATCCCTTGAGATTTATAAAACAAAGACATGGCGGCCATGTTGGAGGAAAATACGCTCCAAATATACAGGGTGTCTCAAAAAAACCCAAAATCATTGAAATAACGTATTGTTCGAATTTCAATGCCGTAACACAAAGGATTTTGACAGGGTGATTAATTTGTTTTAAAAAATTAAAATATCTTTGTAAAGTGAACGTTTGTTTGCTCATGGGAATTTAAAAATGCTTCGTAAATTCGTGGGTTTAGTACTTTATGCCTGACATAACAAGCTTACGCTGAGTATTACCATTCATTATAGCAGTTATGTCAATCTTTTATGCACTCGTGGGATTAACTTAGTGCTAGGGCATTGAATATCGAACAATACGTCAATTTCAATGATTTTGGGTTTTTTTGAGACACCCTGTAGAAGAGCTGCTAATGATATTCTTTTGTTAGCGTTCCTCCAACGATATTCTAATGATATTCTTTTGTTAGCGTTCCTTCCATGGCCATCATGATGTCAAGTGCAAACCAAGTATACATACACGTACTTTCGAAAACAGTTTTGATCTAAAGAACTGACATGTTAATGCATACTGATCAGTTGGACATGTCACCATGGTAATGATAAGCACCAAGGATAGTGTAAATGAATAGGCCCTTTGCAGTTGGCCTGAAAATAGCGGATAGCTAGGGGTTCAACTATCTGAAAAGCAAAACTTCGACGTTTCGAGCATAGGCCCTAAAACGCTTTGCTGGGGCCGATTGTTCGAAAGCCGATTAGCTTAACCCTAGGTTAGCCTAAACTTCTAAGCAAACTTCCTGACAGCTTGTCCATAAATGTAGAAATGTTTCTTCAAAAATTATGGCTGGGTCGATAGGATTTGACTTCCCTGAAGTTTTGAAATAAACAGACGTGCAGAAATACATACACCAAAACAACAGGTTACATATAACCCATGGTTAGCGATAATCCAGCTTTGAACAACCGGCCCCTGGAGGGCAAAACAATCCTGTGCTGTCTTTCTCCTTCAGTGTTTTCAAATTGTTATACTCAACTATTTTTAGTTAACTGCAAAGAAGCTATTTGGCTGAAAATGGCCATAAACACGATTAGCATTATAATATATAGTTCTATGGGTATTATAAGTTTTCAAAGTTTCAATTCATCCATGCATGCATGCGAAGAACATTAGACCGCGCGGTTTAATTGACTAAGGCTACGTTTACACTATACCGGATGGCTTTCCGTGGCAGCGCGAAAAAGCAGCTATTCGATACAGAATGTACAACTTTAAGAAGCTAAGCGAAACAACATCTTTGCATTGAAATAATTCCTTTGAATATGGTGCTTCTAAAAGGTACGGATATAGGTGTTTTTCACGTCGCTACGAAAGCTATGCATGTGTAAACGTAGCCTATAAGGAAGATATTACGTACAAAATACATGACCGCGCCTTTACAGCCATTCGCAAAGATTCAGATGCATGTGAAATAAATATGTTTCTTACAACACATATACAGCGAGTAAAACATGCTTATTTAATATTTTCTAGAAATATTTGCGCTAACTAAACGGCGCGGGATTTTAATAAATTCCGTTTTGATTAGCTGCTGCAGGCTTGCAAAGAATTCATGACATCGCGTAGTTATGACATCATACCTGTAGATATGACGTCAGATCTGCAGAGAATAATAGCAACCCCAGCATAAAAGACGACTTGTTTACATGAAGAAAAAAAGCCATGGCGAGAATTCCCTCGGTGACTGAACGCAATAAAAATATAGCGCCCTGGTCATGATCAACTCAGTTATCAACAACTTTCATTTCATCATATTCATCATATTCATATTCAGTAGTGTTTGATGTAGAAATAAGTCTTACGATAATTAAAACTATCTAAATAGCCTATTTGGATGACCATCCAGTTTGGAAACTGTTTTCACTGAGGCATGCAAATACTTCGCATAACAATTATAAAACAATCGTGTTTGGAGCCGGAACAACTGTGCAGGATTGTGGCAATTTCTGGGACAAATAATTACTTCCATGACATGAAGCAGAGAAAAAATGTCTTTGGAAACGTTCTCCACCAGGAGTAAAACATATAAAAAATACAGCAGATTCTACTTCAATATTATACTGCATTGCCACTGGTCTGATTCATTTAGAAACAATTGTCTGATGACGTCATAACTACTATCGCTTTACCTACAGTTGTATAAAGAACATCTTTTGCTGCACGTAAACCTTAACATCATGTAGAGAAAGAGTGTTTATTTTGAACATATCGAACGAGTAGATGTTTCTGATTTCCAATTATGGTAAAAAAATTTGTTTTGCGAAAAATACATTTTTATCGACTTTTAATATTCTGCAAATAGTGGAGATAAAAAAATGTTGCCTTTAGAACAAGTTCATTATAGGATCAGTGATATCGGTAGGGTCATGACCAATTTATATGCAGAATGTATGTGACATATTAGTTAATTCATGCGGCAAATTCAACGGTTTAATAGGCCTTTACAAGCTACTTTTCCGACTAAGAACAGATGCATAACACTATCTGGAAAGCAAGAACGCTGTGTTTTGTGTTGTTCCATTGTTTACAAATCCCACAGCTCCCATGCATGCTGTCCCATGCTTTCTCACTTGTTGTTCTCAACTATTTTTAGTTTATTTTAGAATCTGTTCCATTTTCCCAACCACTTCCAGACGAGGACCTTTGAATAATCAATGCTTTAAGAAAATAAGAAATCATATAGGATGAATTTGCAAATACTTGGAGTCGTTCATAACTTCATGTTGTGGTATCAGCGGTCGTCTCCATACAGAACTATATGAAAAACATTCCAGAACAGGAGAGAACAGATTTTATCATCAGTAAATCTTTTCCCCACGCCCAGTGCGAATTGATGAACAGTTGGAAGAAAGTAAGCATCTTGCATGTTTTTATTTAATAAAAACAAGATGCTTTAGTACTTGTAATGATTTTCTTTATATACAATTGACGCATTGACATTAATATTAATAAAATATTAAATTTGTTTACAGGGCCAGAATGATAATTGGGGGGGGGGGAGTGTATATTCATATATTCGTGTTCTGCCAGACGGATTTCTTTTGAAATCGATTATTTTTACGGTATGTAAACATGAATATATGAATATACACACCCCAATTATCGTGTCTAGCTACGGCCCTGTTTGTTTATATGTTGTGGCCCAGTGGCCATAATATATATTCGCCAATCATGGAAAATATTTTTTGCTGAACTTTGCGTTCTAGACATCACACTCTAAAAACACTCTACTTAAAAACTTTCCTGGTTAACTTAGAAATAACTCTACTTGGGTTTACTTAATATTCCTGGAGTGGTTACATTTCCTGGTTATTTTAGGAAGTGAAGATACAACCAAGAAATTTAATCAGTAATATTAAGTTAACCTTATACCTAAAGTTAAATAGTATCTATCTCTGGTTAAGAAGAGAATTTTAAAACCAAGACTGTGTCATGATTAATAATACAACAGCTAAATAAAAAAGAAGTTTAAACACTTTGATTTATATCCGCTATTATATACAGCCAATTCAAAAAAGGATGTCCTTTGCCTTTGCAAACCTTAAACTTTAAACCTTAAACGTTAAACTCTAAGCACGCAAAACTTAATGGGAGCACAAGTTTCGAGCTTAGTAGTTGAATATTGCAGCTATTTGTGAATGAATTTTTCTCGTAAGGAGATATTTACAATGTCTCTAAGAAATGGGCCCCATATATGATTCTAAACTGATTAAATGATACTTAATTAGTCCAGACAAAAGACAACGTTTCTTTAATTAGCTGTATACTGATACTAGTGACTTGTCAATGATGCACTTCTTAATTTGAGCTCAATTCGTTATAATTGGATAATTAGCTGTATTTAGTTTGGACTGACTGCACTACTTATTGGCTTACTAGCTGTGATTTAGCGTTGCACAAGAATGGGTATCTACTATACTAGTCTCGTAAGCACAGTATGTTTTCATTATCCTGTCTGCCTTACCCAACCTGTTCTTGTTTTTGCTGAAAAGTGTCGACACACCACGTCCATTGAACACGCACAGATTGATAATGAAATATATTGAAGGTCACAGATACGAAACGAGTATACCACAGCAAGTAAATTTCCCTCTACTGTACGATAATGTAAGCAGCTTACTCAGTAAGTCACAGTATGTTCTGTGCCTTAAATTGAGTGCTTGCTAAGTAACCCAACTTTGACACACTGCGTGATAGAGAGACGCCACGCAGTTCGGAAAATTAAACAAAACTATCAATTTTCAAACAAACTGCGCTGTTCGCAGTTTAATCGTGAATGTTATAGTAAAATTAAAGATGACAGTGTGCCCATTTTATTATGAGTCCACGTTCTTTGCGAACCCAAACGTAAAAGCCTCTCATATAGGTAGGTTAGTAAAGACATTTTTCAGGGGTAATTTTTCAACATATACCTATCGCCTATCGGTCTTAATTATTTATAGGCTCGCTGATATCAACTTAGGTCAATTACCTGCCACAGGCTAATTACCAAGTTCACTACTATGCATGTACGGCACAATAAGTAACCATCAAACTATCTATGCCCACCAATAGCGAATTATTACATAAAGATGGCGACTGGCAGGGGCGGGGTATACGAAGCTAAATTACTCAGAGTTAAAACGGTTTGCATCAGAGACAGAGTGCATGTTTATGTCAAAATAAGCAAAACTACAAAACAAATTGGGTTTGCTCGGTACAAAGGTAAATAGATTCTTAACCTCAGAACGAGGCTCAAGTGTCACACCAACAAGTCTTGTTCGACGGAACGTTTATTGCATTTTCACAAAAAGAGCAACGCCATTGCGTTTATTTCTGACCAAATAGATAATGGAGTGAACTGTTGAACAAAGAATCTGTACCCTGCGGCACTCATTATGGTCACCACCTTCAGGGCCGTAGCGAGGGGGGGGGGGGGGAAT